TACATTTTGGCAAAATTCGTGAACTTTGACCCTTCACAACTTTTGTGTTTCTCAACCGATTGGACCGATTGAGGGCTCAAATGAAAGATCTATTCTTCCTCTATCGGACACACACCACACTTACCGGATGTGGTCACCGGAAGTGACCGGAAAACGTGTCTCGGAGATGGTCCCGAGATTTCGTAGAAAGCGTTAAAATTAAAAAATTATTTTTTGTGCCCAAAATCATCACATTATTAGGCTATTCAATAAAACAAACCGCTTTTGAAAATATTAAGCCATTCCGGAGAAATTTAAATTATAGCCAGAAACAACAATATTGTACGACCTAATACAATATCAATATTAAAACTCTGATTAGAATGTAAAGTTGGGCGCCCGAACCCGTGGGCACCCGGGCCCGCCCGACCCGGACGGGTTTCGGACGGGTTTGGGCTCATATGTCATGGGCCCGGGTTGGGGCGGGTTTTCAAATTTTTCTTTAAAACCCTGTAAAAACCCGTGACTGTGCTAGATTGATCTAGATCGTGTTAGATTGAGCACTGTGTGCATACATTTTAGGTACTATTATTTTGTAAAGCATTATTTAATTATATAAAATTCATTTCTTTGAATTCCATAAAATTTTATAAAAAGCTACAATTGACTAGAATTTAGGAATCAAGCATTTATAAGATATTGTTTATAATTTATAATTTTGTTTACAAATGAGTAATATGAAACACGTTTTTAAATATGATTAACAAATGATTAACAAATAAAATACGATAATATTCATTTGTTGACTATCTTAGATGCTGTAAAACTGATATTTAAACTTAAAATGTGAGATTGTAAAAGTAAATCATTTGAAAATACTGTTCATACTGATTTCAAAAATTGTTTATTCACTCCTAATTTGATATAAATAATTACTGTATTACCTCCGATATGATTACATGTATTATGTATTATTTGTGCCGAAATTGTAAGCTTTCGGTACTTTTATTGTGGCGAGAAATGGACACCAAATAACCGGAAAAGCTGATAATTGTTAGATGTATGTTATCTGGGACAAAATATACCATAAGTGTACTGAACGATGATTTGCAAAAGTTTCTGGTTAAGTTAACAAAGAAATTACTGTATCTGAAAATCTATTGTAATAATTGCATAACGCTAACTAGAAGTAACTAGAAGTCACAAATGCTAGAGTCTACACAATGGTGATCAAGTACAAATTAGTCATAAGGTTTAGTGTGAAAGTAGTGTATAATACCGTATGAAGATTATACAGTATATACAGTATATGGTAGCTTCTATCTGGGACAGGAAATATTTGAATAATTTTTGAATGGATAATCCGATTTTTAATCTGTTTTCACCAAATTGTAGCAGGATAATCAAGTAATCTAATGGTGTACTAT